CCCCAAAACCCCAAAACCCCAAAACCCCTAAAGATAGAATTAGTATGACATCTATAGTCTACAATAAAGTTAATTGTAAATTTATTTTAAAATGCTATTGACTCCAAAGCTTAAAGTTTAGGAGTTTATGTATTATTTGTAACTGATATAAGTTAGCTTCATCTTCATTGATTATTGTATTAGTTTTCTGGTATTGATTCCAAATTTGAATGAGGATACTATTGGTAGGCTCCCATCTAAGATGGAGGATAAGTATTTAAATCATTACCAACAGGCATATTAAATCCTTATGGGTACCCTTAAGTAGAGTTCTGACCATTATTCGTATAGCCTACAGAATTCATTGAATAATCATTCATCTGGTAGAGTCCTGGCTAAATGTTGGCATACTACTGATTATCGTTTGGAATCATTTAAGGATAACCTTATCCTGGAGGAGGATAAGAAGGTTGGAACATTTGCATTTTTGCAGAATCATCTATCATCATGTATTAATTATTTTAATTCTGATCTAGCATCATCATTCCTGGCTAAGCTATGCCCATTTACTGAGCTTTCATTTGTGCTTCTATTTCAGCCGTTCTGTCAATAACAGTAGCGCCTGCCATAAAGTTTGGATTTACAGTTTATGGAATTTCTAGTCTTTTCTATTCTTATTTATTCAGCTCATCCTCATATTCTCGGTATGACCCACATTTGCAGCATAGTAAAATACAGCAAGCTGTTTAGCATCGTATATTCATGTATTTTACTAGGCATGCAACAATTATTCCCAAGAGTAAAATGCTTCCAATTATAACTGTAAATGGAATCCACCAGATGCCTCCAGATACACCATTTCTAGAGTAATAGTATCCACCACCAATATAAAAACCAACCGAGTAAGAAGATCTAAAGGACGAGGAGGAACTTCTGCTTCCACCTGATGATCGACCACCTCCTCCTCTACCTTTCATTAGCACATCAGTTGATAGCAATACTAGGACGATAAAGATTATTAGAATTTATTATCTTGAAAGTTTCATTTTAAATTGCGATTATCAATTTTTTTATTTATTAATCTAATATATGATGATTTATTAGAATGCATTCTATATTCCTTGCAAATTTATATCTTAGGGGTTTTGGGGTTTTGGGGTTTTGGGG